TGGGTAGCAGCTGTCCAACCAAACACGGCTAACACGGCTAAGCTTCAGTGCGACATTTAAAAGCTGCAGAACTCAAAGCCTCAGCGAAGATGCAAACCCGTTCGTGTTTGGGCCCTTGTGAAGCGCAGCAAGTGCTCGACTCTTTGGGTGAAGACTCAACGTCGGTGCGGCTTCTCATGGCGAGAAACACGTGGAGGTGCTGCATTCCTTCGAAGCGATGTGCAGAGAGTGTCAATGGAACTGGTGGCGCGGACGCCACCCACCAAGAAGAAGGTCTACGGCTTCAACCTCCGCCTGAAGGAGCTTGAAAGGGCAGAGGCTTGGGAGAAAGCTTTGGTGCTTCTCCGCAGGACTTCAAGAAGTTCGCTGCAGACGCGTGTCTCCCCGCATGTCGTAAGCTATACTACAGTCCTCCGCGCTTGTGTGAAGGCAGAGCAGTGGCTGAGAGCCTTGGATCTCTTGAGGGATATGTCTGATAGCCTGGTCGGTCCGAATCTGGTCACATACAACACGATGATCGATCCGATTACACGGGCAGGAGGGTGGCAAGCTCTTGCGAAGCTCTTCGAGGAACTCTGGACCAAGAGTTTGCCGCCAGACTTGCAGCTCCTGAATACTAGCATCAGTGCCTGCGCCCGAAACAGCACGTGGCCGATCTCACTCCTCTTTTTCAACCAACTGACTAAGCCTTCGCCGCCAGAAAATCCTGGGTGCCAAGACGGACGAGTGGTCCCGACAGCACCGGATTCTTACTCCTTCAATGCCGCGATTTCAGCCTGCGCCTACGGCGCTGCATGGCAGGCTGCGGTGGAACTCGTGCGTCAATCGAGTCTGCAGGGATTGCCCGACAGTTCCCTTATTCTCACAGCAGCAAGCTCTGCCTGTTCTCTTGGATCCAAGTGGCAACTTGGATTGGAGTTAGCACAGCACGCCCGATCAGCGGTGCAAGCAGATGAACAGGGCGCCTTGGTGTCTCTGGGTGCCGTCCTGAAAGCTTGTGAGCGTGGCTCACGGTGGGCCCTGGCTTGCTACACGGCCCAGGCTGCTTTAGAGGCTGGCCTCGTTGATGTAAGTGCCGCTTGCGCGGCCGTCAGTGCGTGTGAGAAATCCCAGCAGTGGCAGCATGCAGTCGCCTTGGCACACAGCCTAACAACAAATCGTGCCAAGCCGAGCGCTTTGCTTTGCGGAGCTGTAATCAGTTCCTGTGAATACAGTCAAAACTGGGAAGTGGCTCTCCGAATGCTGCATTGTCGGGCTTTTGGAGGAGGGGCCCAACTCCTTCGGGAGCTGGGGTCCACTGCCAGGGCTGACGGAGCAACGATGCCTGTTGCAGCAGCCATGAGCTGTTGCAGCAAGGCCGGGCGATGGGAGCTGGTCCTCCACCTCCGGGCTTGGCTGCATAGCACAGGATCCCATAGCTTGGTGGCGAATGCCGCTGCCCTGGAGGCCTGTTCCAAGGGACGCCAGTGGCAGCAAGCCGAGTTTCTCCTACGCGGCAGCCACGGCACCGTCGAAGCCGAGACCGTGGGATTGGAAAGTGCTTTTTTTGCCCTGGACTTGTGCGGCCATGCAGCAAGAACTGCCCGATGGCGAAGTAAGTCGAGGCCAGCCCTAGGGCTCGTGGCTAACCATGTAAGCCCCTCGTGCCGCTCGGGCGAAGCCCTAGCATGGCACGAGGGGACCTGTGCAGCCTGGACAGCAAGCATGGAAGCGCGCGCACATCGCGTTGCAAGGAAGCTGCCTCGCAGCCGACATGCCCTACTACAGCTCTTGGTGCAAGCTCGCCACATGCTGGCCGGTATGTGCACCCAAGTGCGATGTCAGCTGCCGCCGTTTGCGGGCAGCACCAGGATTCGGCAGTAGGTGCTTTTCCCTTCACAGTCGCAGCAGACCTCCAGCCTGCCCTCGGGCCTCAGAGTAAAGAGACTTCGCTGCTCCTGAAGTCTGCCGAAACCTTCAGAAGTCTGCCTTGACCACTGCACGAGAGCCGGGATGAAGAGGGTGTCCAGTGCCAAGCGGGTGTACAGTGCTTCTGCCAGGCTTCGGCGTTGCCATTGGCCGGCCCGTCGCGGAGGAGCACTACATGAAGTGCTTGCAGGCCTTGCAGTGGCCTTGCAGGCAATCACCGACACAACCTAGCGGCCTAGCAAATGGCTGGCCCTCAGGCTGGCGTTAAAATCGCTGGCGTCAACGCAGAGGCCCGCGCCTCTCAGTCCACGAACGGGGCGCTGCTATGTTGGCACCTGAACTACCTACTTACTATCTCGACCAGCGACTAATACCCGTCTGCGCTCTTCAGGTCATGCCTGGCCAGTGGGAGTTCCAAGTTGGGCCTTGCCGGGGTGTGGAGATGGGAGATCATCTCACCATCGCGCGAGACTGGGCTGCAGGGCCAGTCGGATAAGGTCGTGCCTACTCGATGAAGTCTGTCATTTCTGTCTCTCAAAACTACACCTCAAGCCTGACATGAAAAGCAGGGCACCACTATCCCCTTTCATTCCTCCCTCCGGCGCGAGGCTACATCATGCTGCGGATCACCGAGAGCCACAACTGCGTCTGCTCTTTCTCGCCCAAGCCGATGGAGGGTGAGCCGAGCTCAGAGAAATTCCCGGGGCACTGTGCCAAGATTTAATTACGTAATTAGTAGCAATTAAGTAAATCCTGTGGTAATAAATGAATAATCAGCAATTAATTATGAAAGGTCGCCAAGTCTTGTAGCGTTTTGCAGAGGACTGGAATGGTGCCGGCTGCCACACGAACTTTTCTGTCACGCCAATGCGTGAGGCACGAGGGTCATTCTGTTAGAGGGCCTTGGACTTGGAGTCTTGAAAGCTATCACCGGGTTTTCTTGAGTAGTGAAATAGCTTCAACATGAAAGCTATCACAGGGTTTTCTTGAGTAGTGAGATAGCTTCAACATGTTGTCCGATCGCCTATGCACTGAAGCGTTGCTGCAGGAAGGCGGCTACGAGCTCATCATAAAAGTCTGCGAGGCCTGAGTTTTCCATTGTTCATAAGTTTGTCCCGCCTACCCTAAACCCTAACAACACACCCTCACCGGCTTCCATGCAAACCGAAAAGCCCTGCTTCTGAGCGCGAAGGCCTTCGGCAAGGTTGCAGCCGAGCACATTGCCGAGTACGGAGAAGGCTGCTATGACTTAATGTAGGGGCCTACATAATTAGAATAGGGTTTTGGGACCCATTATATTTATACTATAATGATAATAAGGAGCCACCAAAATAGTTCAGGTAATGATTTAGGCAGCTAGATCAAGCCCAATTGCACTTTCCGTGACCAGCAAAGCTGCTAGTGTGGCTAGTGCGTGTGGGTGTTTCAGAAACTCCGCTGTCCTTGGTCGGAGACTCCAAAAAGGGGCGTGAATGCGCAGCTTCGGCCTTGAAAGCTGTAACACTCGGCTTCCATGTGGGTGCTGGCATCACGGTTGACATGAGATGACATGAGATCCAGTCGCAAGCTTAATCCTGCATGGAGGTAATGAGAAGCGCCTCACAGGCCGGACAGCCTTGGTCCATGCATGGCCTGCGTGTGGCAACAAGTCAGCTTTACACCCAGAGACCCTGCGGAGGCAAGCATGAGACCTGCGCTATCACTGACTTCAAGTATGGAGTCGCAAACCGCGGTGCTTCCATCCGCATCCCGCGCGAGACGGAGAAGAGCGGCAAAGGCCATCGGTGGCCACGAGTCTCCACACGGTGCAACTCTAATTTGCGTAAGTAGAGTCGTTGGAGGCTACATGGAAGATCGCCGTCCAGCTGCCAACTGCGACCCTTACAAGGCGGGCGACAGTGAGCACTAGCAGGTGTTCGTCCAGATGCACGCAGAGAGCTTTGCCAGGTTACCGCCAGGATGATGAAGACGACAGGAGAGTGTCTGCTGCCAAGTTGCAAGCACTCAGGAGGGCTGTACTCTCAGAGCATTTGCAACGAGCTGCGTGCAATCATGCTTGAATCCAGAAAAAGTATCCAGTGTCCCCTCCGGAAGCTTACCACCAATCAAAGAGCACTTGTTTGCAGGATGGGCAAGACACGCATATCCGTCGGTCACACTCCTGGATAGAGTTCTGGATGGCAAAGACGAGTAGTACCATGGCCCTGGCTTTCTGAAACCTGAAGACACCTCACCGGGCTCTGACAGTGTCTGGCAGCTTCGGGGCCACATCCACCGACGCCGCCACAGGAATCGAGACGTGCTTTCAGCAGGGTTGAGGCTTACAAACCATGCCCAGCATCATGAGATCACTTCTGTTGGCCCTGGCTGAAATGCAACTCACATTCCAGCAGCAGTCTACGTGTAAAATGACACTTCACTGCGAGCGTCTCACGACCTGACTCAAATCCCTTCTTCCCTTGCGGAGGGGAGGGGTGACTTCAAGAAACTTGGCATGGCGGAACACTGCTGCGAGAGAACCTTTAAAGTTGAATCCCTGGCCCTGCAGATCATTTGCTTCGCACGCCTTCGTGTTGAGTTCCTCCGAACGTCCTCATGTTCAATCTGCGAACGCTGTGCCAAGGCCTCGAAGCAGAGTGAGCCGGGGAATCACTGTACAGCAATGTGTGTTTCAATTAAGAGTTAGATATCAGCAGAACCTTTAACAACAAGAAGAACAATGAGAGTCAATGAGAACACACGTGGATGAAGGACACCATGTGCTTCATCACAACAACCCAGCACAGCAGCAACAATAAATATTGACAGTGGGAAGAAGTAAGCAGGTCGTCGTATCGAGAATAAGGAACGAGGAGTCGTTAGTCTACGGCCTACGGTCTTAGATTCCGGACCGGTGGAGTACCTTGCAGGTTCTCGTAGCCGCTTGTCGGACTCGCTTTCCTCCGGGCATTTGAATGCCTTGGGATATGCTTTGCATAAAGAATCGCTGGAAAACTTGGCAGCTGGGGCCCCGGAGAGCTACCGGCACAACTTTGCAAAGAGTGCAGTGTTGAAAAGGCGGTGATGGGGAGCTTCATAGACGCCTTGCAACAATGCAGGCGACCCTGTTGTTCATGGTGATGGGCAATTTCGGCATAGCTTTCAGCGACGTGGTCGTGGATGGGCTGACGGCTCAGCGCTAGAGTCTGCTCTTGAGTCCCGGAAACAATGTGCTCCCACGAAACTCAAGCCCCGAAACCGAAGACCCCGAATTCTGCTGGCAATGCGCAGACAGAGGCCTGTTTCGGCCCCCAAAAGCCTAAAGATTGTCACAGACCCCAAACTCTAAGCCACAGTAACGCCGAAGCAGAGGGTCCTGAAGCCACCAAAAGCAGAAGCTGGAGGTTGGTGGTGGAAAAGGCTCGGGATGATCCGAAGCTGATGGGCGGCCTTCAATCTTTCAGCTCGGCTCTTAAAGGGCGCTATTGGAAGCTATGGGTTCCCTTAAATTCTATACTGGGGTCCCCTGGAGATGTGTGGGTGTAGGGTTTAGGGCTTACTCTAAAGCCCAGCCTTGGATCATCGTTGCTTTCCGATGTTTTTCGTGATCACTGGGGCTCGTGCTCTGCCGAAGCTGATTCTATTCATAGAAGGGGCCAAGCAGCGAATTGGCTCTTGATTGCTGCGGTCAAGGCTGGGCGCATGCCCGCTGTTTGTTAAAAGCCCGCATAGTCAACAGTAGACTGCGACAATCTCCAAGTAAGCCCCAGCGGTTTCATGTTTGTCCCACCCTTGGCTACCCTTTGCAATTACCAACCCCCGGCAGCGAAAGAAACAGTTGTAGAGGGATGTGCGCAAGTTGGTGATGCAGCCGGGCGCGCGATGTGCTGGCACAAGTGCAACCAATGCAACATCAGCAAGCTATATGGGAGATCTCCCAGACGTGGAGGCTTGTCCCGAGGATGAATCGCCCCGCTGGCCTCGGCAAGTGCTGGAAAAGCTCGGGGCTTTCCAAGCGTTGCTGGCCGACGCTTGGTGGGCCCGAGGACCCCATGACAAGAGTAACTGGATCGTTCCAGGCTGTGTTTTGGTGGGTGGGTGGCCGTTCCGGCTGCCCAAGGGGAGGGGCTCACAAGGTGAGTCCCCAGAAGAAGGCCTGGCAAAGCTTCACAGCATTCTGGATGCGGGAATCAACACGTTCGTGTCGCTCACAGAGGAAGCTGAGATTCGTGGAAAGGCCTACTGCTTCAACAGTTTCCAGAAGGCTGCAGAAGGAAGGTACCGCGAAGTGCACGGGCCACAACGACAAGCAAGACGAGTGGGCCTAGAGCTTAGGTTCTTGTCATGCCCCATGGTGGATGGGGGCACCTGTGAAGACGAGAAGCTTCTCCAGCTACTCCTGTGCATTCTGGCAGAGTTGAGAGCTTCCCGGGCAGTGTACATACACTGCTACGGTGGGCATGGCCGCACAGGCATCGTGGCATGTTCCATGCTGTGTTTGTTGTGGCAGATGGCCCCTACAGAAGCAGTGGAAATCTTCAATCGCCTGCATTCCCATCGTGTCGAGTGTGGTGTTGGAGGCCCTGGTCAGTTTCCTCACAGCGACGCACAGCTGCGGCAAGTGGAGCGAATGTCTTGCCGGCGTGCCCGATTCCAGGCATATTTGCCGCATCCTGATCTACTTGCCCCACTCCGTTCTGATTCTTGCGAACAGGACCCTTCGCTTCCCATATCAGCCCTCAGCCAACACAGGGTCGAGGCCACGATAAAAGCTTGAAAAGCTAGGCCAGTGGGAGGAGGTTCGAGCGTCCTAGCCGGAAGCGTCGCCGATAGTTCTCGCATCCAAGGCTGGGCCTGTCGAGGCTTTGGGGCAATCCTGTCAGCGCCACTTGACACCATGTGATCCGGTTTAGTTGCTTCAGTTCATCCTTGAAGTTGCAGGCATTGCAAGGGGGCCAAGGATCACCCAAGGATTTTCCCAAAAACCAATGGGACGTGGACCTGTCACGCAAAGTCTGCCAGCATGCCTTGAGCTGAACCGTATGCTCTGATCCCAGGTATTTCAGTGGAGCTCTCTTGGAAATGATCGGAGCATTGGTCCCAGAGTGAAAAAGCTCGGGTCAGTAGAGGATATCATTGAGAGGTTGGAGTAGACGAAACAGCTTCCAACAGCTTTTATTGTCGAAACGAGGTGCGAGAAGGAGCATGATGATGATAGTGTTGATCGTGATGAGGATGATGATGGGATAAAATGCTCCCGATACTCTATGGGGGACGCGAGGCCACCTCCCGAAAACAAGCTCTGGTGTCAATCGTCTTCGTTTGGTGAGGGGCATAGATGTTCTGCTCAGGCCTGTCATGTGAGTCAGAGACAAGAATAGACTCAGTAGACTGTTCGGATGCTTCTGCGGAGCCTGTGGAGAGCTTAGTGGCTACAGTCTACAGTGCTACAGAAAATGTCGGATAATCGTGCCACTGGACATGCAAACTGAGACAAGACCACGTCAATCGTTCAGAACCTTTGCCAACTGGAACCAGATTTCCTGGAGTTTGGCTTTTTGCATCGCTGCATTGTCTAATTGCTTCCTCATGGCATCTTGCTCATGTGCATGCATGTCGAGAGTCTCATGATAACAATCTACCGGTGATGAACTTTTAGGCCAAGATCACTGCACCATGAGGTTCAGAAAGTCTTCGCCGTGACAGCGCTGCTGCCGCTGCTCGTCATTGTTGCCGCGGTGCCGCTTGCTCGATTGTTGTGGCTAGCCAGGGAAGGTGGCTCAAGAAAGCAAGTGCCGATAAGAACGGCAAGCTGACTGCCCACTTAGTCGGACCCGTGGGCGAATAAATGGGTGGACTGAACACACATGCGCCCTGTCGAAAGACAGCAGTGATCATACAAAGAGTTGCAGTTTCGGGTGCTGCTTGCTACGCTATCAGTGACCGACACGGCGGCGGTGCGCCATGAAATCTTCAAAGCAGCTGCCTAAACCTGAAACGATTGATGAGTGGCTGAGCGGGGCAGGCGGCAGAAGTCTTCGATGGATGCTTCAGTTTGCTGTCGATGGAGTTTATTGGGAAAGTTGATATCCGGACACCTTCAGCCTGAAATTGCTGCAGCTGTCCCCACAAGCCGAATAAAGAGGCTTCGTCATCCCGGAGTTTGTGCCACAACGAACTTGCCAGCTAAAGAGCTTCTCAAGAGGAAAGGGTTTTTGCATCGCTGCTAGGACCCACATCTTCTGACATTTTTTGGTGTGTGATGTTGTGACAACTTTTGGGTTGTGGTCGAACTGACTCTGGAAGCTGCCTGAAGTGTTTAGTTGGATTAGGCGGCCTTCCCAGTTTGGGCGCGTTAAGGCGGCATCCATACTGACCGGATCAGGAGAAAAATAGATCAGGAAGGGAAATCAGAAAACGATATCAGGAGGAGAAATCAAGAGGAAGGATCAGAAGGAGATCAGAGTGACTCGGAGAAGAGATCAAGAGAAGAGAATTAGAGAAGAGGGCCAGTGTACCAAATGCCAGTGTTGCTAGTGTTTTGAATCCTTCAGCCTTGGGCGTATGGTAGGCCGGTTCGGTCCGTATGTGGACATAGTGCAGTAAAGGCACAGGTGCAGCAGATTGTGGGTGGATGCCACAACATGTCCGCCGTCATCACTCTTGGGCAGGTGCTGATTCGAGAGCCGGCTCAACCGAGTCCTGGTAGCAGCTACTCCCTTGACTGGGACGAGGCCTTGCACTGACGAAGACCAACTGCTCTTGACTCTTGAGAAGGTAAACGTGTGATGCCGGCGATATCACGTTCATGTTCGTAGTTTTGACTCCATTTGCGTGATTCGGCGACCGGACTTGCGGTTGAGCTTTCAGCGCTTCATGATACCGGGCAGCTTTGAGTTTGGATGGGACATCCAAAACGAGCAAATTTACTGCACTCTACGCTACTATGCTATACCATACCTTACTACCAAGTGCTTGAGGCGCGGCAGCTCGGCCAACAGGTGTGGGAGGCCAGAACTCCTGCAAGCACCGTTTGAGGGAAAAGGGTGGGGAAGAATATGTTGACGCTGCCCTTATTGTCGTGGTCACGATCAGCTGCCGCTTTCCGTAGTAGTTGTTGTAGCAGTAGCAGTAGTAGTTAGTAGCAGTAGAGATAGTAGTAGTAGTAGCAGTAGTAGGAAGAGGAGGAGGAGGAGTAGGAGTAGGAGTAGTAGCAGCAGCAGCAGCAGCAGCAGCAGTAGTAGTAGTAGTAGGAGAAGTAGTTACAGCAGATCTTTGGCTCGAATACTACTACTACTACTACTACTACTACTACTACTAAGAACAATGATAATAA